GGAAACTGGTCTGGAGATAAGTTTGTGATAATGTGGAGAGCTAAGTATGCAGTAACCTGAACAGCTTCTCTAAAAGCCTGGAGATTTAGCACATTGAGAATTTTTAAGGGCAATTACAAATATTCTTGAGAGAAAAAGGAATAGAACTTTTCTCTTAAGATGCCTCACCTCACAGACTGGTAGAAGAAGATATTATTACAAGTCAGGGATAAAACGACACAGTATGTCCTGAAATGTAGTTTAGTGAAGAAACCAACTTACATTCCTATAGCACCTGGAACATGATATCCATAATCAGCAACCAAAAAAGAGAGAGAATAGGAGAAATAACAGAGGGACATAGGGACCCAGGAACATGCCATTAAAAAATTGTATTTAGAATTTCTAAGTCTCCAAGGAACAGCAGATGCAGAAGTCAATTATAGCACCTCAAAGGGAGATTTCCAAATAGCATTCCTCGTGGGAAATTTCTCAGACTTGACTGCATACATGCTTGCAGCTCCCATGATCTTTTCCATTCCAGAAGGCAATTGTGAATCTCCACCACTGTGGGATGGCAGCTTTTTCATGTAAGATGTGAGTGTAACAAACGTGAGTTGTTGTGTAGACGTCTAATCCAGTGATTTAATAGACCTGAACAAAATTTGGAATCTCTATGCCAAAGGAAGTTCTGGTATTTGAAATTTGCTTTTGTAAAAATTAAAGAAAATAAAAAAAAAAATGTAGAAAGCCCCAATGAAAATTGTTCACTTTAGGTCAATCAGAATGTTTTGTCTGTATCTTGACTTTAATGTTACATTATACTGGAGTTTCAAAGAGAAAATAGGAATTCAAGCTAGAAGTTATAAAAAAGCCTAAATGAAACATTTCAACCTACTGGAAGTGTTAATGTGTTTTCTGAGTGAAATTTCATCAAACAGGGCACATTTGTTCAGACCCTGAAGCTTTCATAGAATCAGCCTTTACAAATAGAAAATTGTTAGATTCCAAAAAAAACCCCTCAAGTACATCTCCTATTGAGTTTCTGACCTTCAGCACTGGAAGCACAATCACTGTCACTTGTGTCACTAAACAGCCCTCTAGGTGTGAGTGGCAACAATCTCAGCAGTTTCTCTGACCAGACACTCAAGAGAGCAAACTCAAATTCATCTGGTTTCACACTTGTGACCCACAGGTCTATAGCCTGTCTTTAAGAGTCCATGGAGCACAGTGTGTTTTGCTACGTCTGAACTCACTATATGAGGTGAAACTTCCACTGGAAATGTTTGGTTGTTTCTGATTTGGAGCAGCATGTTTGTCCCCAACACTCAGCTGCCTCATGGGGCACAGAGGATGAAATGTCACTGCACTCAGCCTTGCCGTGCTGCAGGAGCAGAGGAAATTGTACGGGCCAGCTACTGAGCAGCCCCAAGGAAAACCTCCTCTAAGGAAGAGAAAAGCTCTCTGAAAGAGGCAGCTGATAACTGCAGCTTCCTTTGAAAGTCAGTCTCCTTCCTCTATCTCCAGGATGAGCATGGATCTGGGGTGATGGCTCTTTTTGGCTTTGCTGGATAATCTCCACTGCGTGTCTCACGTAACTCTTGTGTTGCGTTACTGAAATGACTCTTCCTTCTCTTTTGCGCAGTTACTCTCGCCTACATTTCTGGAGAGTGATAAATACGTTAACAAATGCAGCTCTCTGCCTATCAAACCTGGAAATCAGGACAGCTGAAAATGCAGAAGATCAAACTTCGTAATCCCTATCTGCTGCAATGCAGCAGATGAAGGACTTCGAAATACAGCAATTGCGTTGGGTAGTTATCACTTGGGTGAAACATTTGGGCTGTTGATGCATCAGATCTAGCCTCCCTACTCAACAGATTGCCAAGTAGGAAAGGCTCTTCAGGGATGTAATCCACTGCCTGCTTTTGTCATGGAGACCTTTCTTGCTTCGTTCAGTGGCAATGAATCATACCCCTAATCTTCAGAGAGAAGTGTTTCACTTCAGGTGAAGTAGTGGTCTAGTATCAGTGAAGAGTCAGTAGGACAAAAAATTGCTCACTATACATAGTAACTAATGAGTGCAGGGAAATCACTGCAGCTTGCACTTTGCTGACCATTTTGGACCAGGAGAAGGTTTAATTACAGCACAGACAGTGGGATTTACCCAAGTAAATACAGGGAGATGCACTGTAGAAATTTGCATCTGGGAAAGCCATCCTAAGCTTCCCTTGTAAGTCAGTAAAGCCCTAATCAATAGAACTAATGCTGTTTAGGGTGCAGTTCATTGCATCCTAAAATAAACAGCTATGTTTTATCTGCTAAAGCACTCTCCTCAGTATCCATTAACAATAATGGCATAGAGATGTCTAGGAGGGGTTGTATCTAGAGCATAGACACCTTTGTGGTAGATACCCATCACTGAGACAAGTCCTCCCCTGCTTTCCTTTCTGAGCTACAAATGGGGCCCTGGTAGACCAGCAGGGAATAGCCTTGCATTATCTGCACACATTTTGTTGGGGACTTTGCTTCTATATTCTCTGGTAGCTAATGGTCTGTTCCATTAATCCTTAAGGTTAAGGTGACCTTGTAAAGCTGAAGAAGTGCATTTCTCAAATTGCACACAGCAAATATATGTGTGCACACATTTATATATTTGTGAAAGAAATTAACCCTCCCTCTCTAACTCATTTCCCACTTTCCTTTCAGTGGCAAGATAATCCACTTAAATAGAGTTCCCAACCTTTCTACAGGCATAAAACAACATGAAAAAGATGGAAAAACCCAACTGCTTGGTTCCTTTCCTGTTCACAGAATAAAAAGAATAATTACTTCCTTATTAAAACAAATATTAAGTATTTTCTAAGCTTTCATCCTTTTTTTTAATTCATTATACCACCTCTTAAAACACATTTAAAAAAGACAACTTAATAAAAATAAACCCAAGCTGATGCAAACAGAATAATTGGCAAGGCGTGAAAATACTGCTCGTATCCTGGAGACAGGCTGCATTGTGGGTCGTTTCTTAATTTTCACTCTATTAAGGTAATTTCCTGAGACTGTGGCTTTTTTTTCCGGCAGCCATCCTCACACACTGTCATCCCTGCCTTCCTCACATGCTGGGGGGGGTGGGATGGGGTGGTGGTGGTTTTGGTTGAGGTTATTTTGTTCCTGATCAGGAAAAATAACTACATATATCGGTCCTATTTCCCAGAAATCTAGAAGCAAACATGCTGGTCTCTGAATCCAGGGGCATGGAAGAGAAAAAGTGAAAGCAGATTTCCAAATGTAACTTCCACATCACCGCAATATCTGCTCAACAGCATCTTTATTGGATGACTCCCATGAGAAGCCAAGGTTTAAGGCATCACTGAGCACCAAAATCCTTGCTATTCTACCCAGAAAGATGTCTGCACCACCACTGAACCCTAATTTGGATCCAGATTTCATTCTAAGCTTACAGCAGACTCATAGCAATTTGTAAATATGGAAGCATATGAGTTTCTGACATCAGAAATACAATTTTTGGCTAGACTGACATCTGCATCTTTTTCACTGCTTAGTTTCTTTCCTTGCTGGTAACACCTCTCCTATGCTCCTCCTTTTGAGCAGGAGATGTTGGTACAACCCATCAAGGCTAGTAGACGTACCTGCCATAAGATGCAAGTACCCTGAGGGAATTTGTAACTAAATCTAGATTTTGCAGAGGACTGTCCCAGCTTGAAATGAACAGCATGTCTTCCAATATGTCAGAAGTGATACAAGACAAAATTAAACTGATTTTAGAACTACAATGCACTTCTTGTATTAAATAAGACTAAAACCTTTGTCAAAAATGATGGTTGCCCACCTGAAATTATTTTAGAAAGTTTTGGAATTAAAAAAGTTTTTGGTCTCTTCATCATTTCCATTTTTTCCCTTTCTTCCAGCCAGAACCACATATGGAAAAGTTTTAACTGGAAGCAAGAATTATCAGATGTTCCCAAACTAAAATTTGCTGCCTGTGATCAGAACCTGGCATAGCAGAGCAGGCAAAGTGCTCCTCCATTACTGTTTATCTCTTCACTTCAGACACTTGCTATTCCTCTGTGTGCTTGCGTTTGCATGTGCACAGGATTTTACAATGACTTTGAAAATCAAAAATACCTTAAAAATAATTATTATGTAGATGTCTTGTGAATATTTCCCAAAAGTGTGTTGGAGATTGTACACAAACTTCCCTGAACATGAAATATTTAGTCTTGTGGTCACCTTCACCTGCACTGGGGGAACTGATTCACAACCTGTTATATAAACCTTTGGAGATCAAGTAAAAGGTACTCTCTTTCTTTACTAACCTTGTTCATTAGGAATCTCACAGCCTTTGAGCCTTGTATCAGTGACATAAACAGCTCATGTTCTCTTTTGAACCATTGGCAGACATAAAATAGCCAGGCTGTTATTGTTGAATCTGATTTTTGTTTCAGATGCATTTGACAATAAGAAACAATTGTCTTCTTATTTGCTGCATGTCATTAAGAGCAGGCATGATCTAGATGATAGCCCAAAATGAGAGAAGGGGGAACTGGGTTCCAAAAGCAGCTTTTGCCACAGAGATAAGAACCAGCCTCGCAGAAGGTACTTCATCTCTCTGTCTCCTTTCTGTCTCACACAGCAAGCCTAAGTGAAAGCTCTCTGGCTTTTCACCTTTGTAGGTCAAAAATACTAAATAAAGAGCTTGTGTCTGCTTACATTATTGGCCATTTCCCTCTATTCTGGATTTTCAGAGGAGTTAAATTATTTTGACACTCAGGAGTATACACAAATGAAAGATTAATACCATAGGTGTGCCTGCAATGTACAGCAAGGCAGAGCTACACAAAGCAGCCTGAAAGGAATTGCTTTAGGTTAGAGAAGCAAACCTAACTGTGATGGTGAGTGGAATAAATGAGTCAGTAAGGAGACAGGTTCTTTCTGTTACCCAAGGTTTTAGAGATAGTACAAAGGTCTTTTACTATACCACATTATAGCCTATAACTTACCCACAGCCATTCCTCCAAGTCCCCACTCTCCTCTTGGAAGTTCCATTTCTGTATGCATTTCTATGAGTAAATACTAAAGCCACTGGGGGGAACCTGTAAGGCTTTAGTAGGTGGACCTGCGTTAGCATCTAAATGAAACCACATGTGGCTTATGGGCTTGGAGCACAGGCCCCTCATTTCTACTGGGCGCTGAAAGAGAAGATCCAATCCAGCTGTGCTTGTTAACTTAACAAGGAACTGGTGCTTGTTTGCAGATGGATGATTTCAGAAACAGAGAAAGGGACTTGTACATTCATCAGATGATAAGCTTTGATTTCCTACTATCCCCTGTATCAGCAGCCCTGTGGATTTACTACAGCTCCTGGGATCCCAGGTCTGACACTTCCTAACTGATCCCTCAGCCAGTGAATAATGCAGCTCTGTCTGCCACTACCTCTTGTCTGTGCCTACCACATGCTGGTGATGACCACCAAAACTGTGAATAGTCTGGGACTCATCTGTCTGAGAACACTTGAGAATGACTGCTATTTCTGATAGATTCTCAGAGCCCCAACCTGGTGACTTGTTTGCAGGAGAAGCAAAGTATGTAACTCATAAAGGAAGGCTGGAGTCATCACCACTCAGCACAGATTCAGGGCTTGAAACTATTTCGTTATTTAGTACATCCATACTAACCCAGCAGGCATCACTGTTACCAATGCCCTCTATAGGATGCCCTTCGTGTCAGTCTATAGCAACCTCCTCTGGCCTACTAGAAGGAGAGCATCAACCTCTTCTGGAAACCACACTCGCACATCAGTGGAGCTCTACCTGGAAGGCCAGGGCAAAAGGCAACCAGAGGACCCTGAAAGGGAGAAAAGAGACATCTCTGCAGCATCTGATGAACAGAGCAAGCAAGACCTGAACAATTATGTGTCCCCTGTTTTTGCACTGACCTTGTTCATGGCTACTGTCATTTGAAAGTGCAGCTAGCAGAGTAAAGGCAGAAAGAGGATGTGAAAGAGGAGATGAGGTAGAAGAGCAGAAAGTTGTCAGCAAAAACAAAGGCTAGAGCAGGAAGAAGCACATAGGCACAGAAGAATGAAAAGGGGGACCTAAACCACTGACAAAGCACTTGCACTGCCTGCAAAGCATGTACAAGTGGCAAGTATGGGTGGCTCTAGAAAACACACATTCCAGCCTCCTATCCGCCTCCTGCATTTTCACTCCTTCAACACCAACAGCCCCCGAAGTCTCCAGAAGACTATACTGAACAGAAGATCAACCACACCAAAGACTAAACCACACCAACAACTACAGATAGCCACAGGACAAGAGATGAAAAGACTGACAGCATTGCCCAAGTGTTAAGTTCCAAATGAGGCTTAGCAGAGAAGTCAGGAGATGCTCAGATGGTTCTCAGAGACTCTGGCTCATGCTAGAGAAGAATAAGAAACACATCCATAGGCAACTAATAAAACCTCTTTTCTTATGTTAGCATGTCATAGATCCCCAACTTGCTGCAGATCTATTGCCCATAGTCTGCAGATGCATTGTCTATTTTTCCTTTTTATTTTCCCTCTCCCCATTTCTATCCTGTGTTTCACATACACTCCATTTGTTTTTCACTCTACCTTATTCCCAACTGCCTTTTCACCTGATTTTTTTTTCTTCAATAGCTGTTTTCTCTTTCTCTGCTTTGCTCTTTCCTAAGGGAAGCAAGGACTAGGAAACATCTGAATTAAAACGTGTGCACATCTGATGCACACAAGAACTTGATACAAAGTATGAGAAGTTTGCCATATCCTCAGCAATTAGTTCTTTGACAGCCACCTTTCTAACAGCAGGATTCTCTCTGTTGTACCTAGTACCATCAGCTCAGTTAAGGGAAATTCAATGAATTCGGGATTGATAAAACCCCCACACAACCAAGTTGTGGAAGAGTGAGAGATGCGTTTTTGGTACCCATCCTGACTCAAATTGCTTTTCATCCTTGAAAGTAAAACATTCTATTTACAAAATACACAGGGAAAAAAACAACAAAACAAAACCCAGAGCATGATGTATCCTGGACAACTAAAGTTTAAACATGCATATTGAATCTGTACAAATTCAAAAGAGTTCTCTTATTTCATACAAACATTTAATTGCCGGTGGCAGGGATAGACCAAACAATACAGAAACTGTCTACTTATTGAAAATAACTGAAGTGGAAAGAAAACAAAAAGTGAGAAAGAAACAGATAAAAGATATATTTTGGGTTTTTTAACACCTGACAATGAATGGAACACTGTAAATTAAAGAGCTTTGTTTTGCCAAGAGTTACACCACCATTGTGTAACGGGACAGAGTTGGGCCCAGCTGATGCCGCAGGGATTTTTGCTGACCCCTTGTAAAGCAGAGTTGTTGCTGTCACCTTGTATACATTTTTTTCCCTTCCCTTGTCCTCCCCAAGGCAAAATCCCTGAATCAGCCGTATGCGAGCAAGGCATTTTGCCACTGTACAAGCAAAATGGGGATCTCTTGAACACTCTCATGGCAACCGTCCCACATTCCGCTAGTATATTTCAGCTGTCAGGTGAATTAAATATTGCCCTTTAAGCAAACTCATGAAAATGGAAGAGCTTCACCATTTTGTCTTTCTCAAGATGAGTCTGCCATCTCAGGCTAAAGGTGGGCAAGGGACAAGTTCATGTCATTTGGACTCCACCCAGTGGTGTGAAGGGCAGATATTCAGGAGTCCGACATCCAGTGAGTAACTCAGTAAGAGTCTTTCCAAAGGACTCAGCCTCTATTAAGCCCTTCAGGGTACAGCCAGGTTTTTGGATATTCCCAGACTTCCGCGCACGAGAAGTGCAAGTGCTGAGGGCTTCTGAGGACCCTGCGTAGCTCAGCTTCGCAGGCAGTGGCACCAGAAAGCTCATGCTGACCAGCAATCCTGTGTCTTATTTTTTGGCCAAAAATACTATAAAACTAGATTGTTTTGTGTGGTTCTGTAGATCCCACACTCAGGCACTGACCGCTCAAATGTAGCTGTCATTGAATTTGGGCTCGACTGCATTTTGATGTGCCACCCAGACAAGTTGCTCCAATTGCCTCAGCACTGTCTCCAACTCGCTATCCAGCCATGAGCCTGACATCCTCCCCTGAGCCAGCAGAAGTCTTCAAGGACATCACGTTCCCCACTGCTGGAGAGTGAGTCCACGAACGTGACAGCCTCCTGCCACCTGCCATGGGTCTGCCCAGCCAAATCAGACTTTGATGCTAGTCTGTGGCGAGACGGTGTTTGCTATGTCCCGAAGGAAAGCGAAACTCACTTGGAGTTACAGGCTTATGGTCTCGGAATCTTTCTGCTTCGGCTGATATATTGTCTAAATCTAAAACTTATTTAAAAACCTGTCTGGATGTGACGGCTTTTAATTAATCTTCTCTTAAGTTTTTATACTATATAGTACCTTGAAGACGCAAGATCAATCACTGCTGTATTGTAGTGTAGAGTTGGGAGACAGAAAGATAAATGAGCTATCAAGTTTAGCATTTTGATAGCTAATTTTAATTTTAACTAGCTCGGGAACATACTGTAGATAGGTGGATAAAGTCATGAAATGGAGCATTCATCTTTAGGACCCAAGCTAGAGTCCATCAGAAAGGAACAGAAAGAGTTCCTCAACAGATGGCCAGTCTCACACAGACTTTCCAAAAACTAAACTATTGCTGAGAATGAGAAACATCATCAAACATCAGAAATAACTATCACATAAGTCTGATGGGATGTGATTATATTTGGCACCTTACATCTGCATATTCTACAGCTTCCACCCTCCGAAGACTCATTCATAAAAGCATTGGGAGTATTTCCAATGCATAATATTAGGCATACATGAGAGTCATGGCAGAAATAGGTCTCGCTACTTTATAAAGAGAGGTAAATACAGTGTCATGTGCATGATGGGGAAAAGAGAGGGAAGTTTATCACTCAGGGGTACAAAAATGAGTCATCAGCAGAGCTGGCAGCAGAGCCAAGGAATCCTGACTCACCATTTACTACATCCATGAGGCTATCCACAGCACTGCCAGTAAGTGATATAACAGCCAGCTAAGTCATTCATCCTTTTGAATATGCCTATGCAAGCATGAGGCATATTCAGGTCCTTGTCCCTTTCATGACTCACAGTGACTCAGATTCCAATGTGTTTCAAGGGGTCCATCACAGAAACTTTAATTACTGTGTTTTCTGCTTGGTCCATAGTAATGATTCTCATTCTAATGTGTGCCACGCATCCATCACAGCGAGGACTTCTAACATGCTCCAGCCACTCCTACTGCAGTGACTAATGCTAATGCACCAGTCTGTGAGGAATTTCCATCATGCATCATTTTCAGATCACACTGGAGTTTCAAATTAAGGCAGTTCTTGTATATATGGTTGCTCCGAATCTTAATTCTGGCCTTTTTCCATTAAACCAGTAAAAAGGTTGAGAATGGAGAGCTAAATAAAAAGCAGTTCTTTCTGTCTTTCCAAGGGATATATAAACCACCCATCACCCAAGTTTTCCACACACCAGGTGAAAGTGTCTTTTTGCCAGAGGATTTGCTCTGATCCATTGGGGTGAGAATTACTGATATTCACAAACCCCAAAGCAAACACTGAAATCATTGCTTCTTTTTCTATCAGGTCAAGTGTAACAGTTGCATTTGAGCTTTCTTGTGCTTGGAGGGAACAGCATACCTCTACTTGCTTTCTTACGTAGTGAAGAAAGTAGATGCAACTGGCATGATTGATAATATATATCTGACCCAAATAATATGGTTTTCATTTATTCCTCTGGTATGATACTGTGTCTCTGAGCACACAATTATGCATCCTCTGTTTTATTAATGGGTCAAAAATGCTCTAGCTAAATGACACAAAGAACCAACATAGTATTAATTAATGCAGCTGCTTGAAAATTGGTCCAGAATATTTTGGTGGTTTAACTTTGCTCCAAAGGACAGTAGATGGTATCAGATACCATCTGTCGTCCACTATGTGGCATTGAGCCAGCATAAAAAAAAACCCTTAAAAGCCACCTTCGACTCTGTAGCT